TATTATTATTATTATTATTATTATTATTATTATTATTATTATTATTATTATTATTCAGCTTGGTAGGCCAGAAGTACGTAGAAATGAGCACGAACTACCAGTTTGTGGTGGTTTTAGTGTCCAAATAGATGTTTGGTGCTTCCCAGCCCCACTTCCACTGGCGGGCACCCACTCAGAGCAGTGGCCACTAAACGAACCGGCACAAATTGCCAAACTAGAGGTTTGCCTATCTCTAGTCAAGACGGTTGCCATGACCCCAACAAATGGATTTTGAAAACCTCCCAGTAAAGGGTATTTCATTGCTGTTAGATTTCAGGGTCCATACATCAATTCACTGGGTCTGGGACACATAATTCGTCCTGTGACCATGTGCGTAACTGAATGTGTAACCATTTCTTTAACCTTATGAAGCCGAAGAACGTGATGGCTTGCCAGCAGCGCAAATATGCTTGCTTGTGTGATTGCCTCCTTATGCTATGCAAACTACGAAGTTGCCAACCCTGGGTAAAGTGTTCTTCATCTGTGGTTTTGTATGTAGTACATATGTGAAAATAATGTGCATTAATTATATGAGCGTTCTCTTCTTGTATGTCAGCATGACCAACAATATATCGCCTGAAGATTTCTGTCAGAGAGCTGAAGGACATTTCTTTCCATAACTTTGTGTTATCAGTCAAGACACTTGTAAATATTACTTTCCCACCCTCTAAAGAAAAACTGTATTACTTGTTTGAGTGAGTAGCATATGTATAATAGCCTATTTCATTCCTTGCCTTTCAGTAATGTTGGAAATCTGCGCTGCCTTCGCTAATCTCTATTTATAGGCTTTGTTATAAACAAAAATTAGAATGATAAAAAGAAAGCCAACACTGGTGTAAGAAAAATATCATTCTTTAATTGCAAATATAGTGCATAATCACCATTTATACACTCTCTAGTACTTCATATAAATCTTATAAATAGTGTGTGTTGTATAGCTTTCTAAATGAATACAAAGGGACATAGTGGTTTTTTATATAAAAAAAGAAATGAAATTACAGGATGCATCATTAATCTTTGGTTGCTTCTTATTCATTATGCAGTGTGATTTTAAAAACTGGGTACAAATTTGACTGTGAGACAAATAGAGTAAGCATTTCATGTGGATTGTCTACATTATTATAGACAGTTTTGGACAGGAATTACATTATGATCCCAAAGGATTAAGCCTGGGTAGCAGGCGATTTCCCCCCTTTTCTGTTCAGGGAATTTTGCAAAGAAGTAAAGATTTTTAGTTAATTTTTTTAAAAAAAACACTGATGATTATAAACACGCACATACGGTACATGTACATATTAAGGTGCAATCTTATCTACTCATAGTTGGAAGTAAGTTTCCCTGAACTCAGTGGAATTTGCTTAGTAAACAAAGGCAGACTGAAATTGCACATTTTCTGTTGTGAAACCATACTGAATCTATAATGCTACTTTTAACAATGTTTACAGGGTCATCCTGGGGAGGAATCAGATTGGGGCTTTGGCTGTCTTTGGTCAGGGCAAATCAAATTTGTGTGTCTGTGAATGGGGGGAGGGAATTTCCAATTCTTTCTTTCTTTTTTGGCTTTTCAAAATGCTCCCCCTCATTCAGTCCAATGAAAAGAGAAAGTTGCCAATGCCAGCTCCATGACTAGTGTATTTTTCCTCCATTATGAACAGCGCTGGGGATAAAATTGAGCTTTGGGCACTGTGCCTCTGTAGCCTTTCATTTCCTGTCTCTGACAGGTCCCCTTTCAAGTCCTACCACGAGTGCCACATTGCTGATGGCAAATCTATATACCCTGAGCATTCTGTGTGTGCAGCCAGGACCTCTAAGCGTGGTCTCACCTGCAGGCCACTTCCCTGCTCATGAACCACCACCGCTGCTGCCTTTGTAGCCCTTAGCTAGCCTTTGGATGACTTTCAGATGACTACCTTAAGTAGCATTATAGATCATGTTTGCAGCATGGCTTTTACAAACCATTTTAATCTACAGCCTAAGAAAGAAAGAAAAAAATATGCTTCTTGACAACACATAATAATGTCATTACAATAGAATGCAGTAAATTGCTCTATTGTATTGGTTTTGGAAAAATAATAAGTAGGATTCCACTTCTTATGTGTTTTCACAACTCAACGGCCCAATAAAATTCTATGGAGCCAATCCAACTGACCCACTGCATATGCTATTCTGTACTTGTAACCTTTGTGCTTTACAGGAGAAGGGAGGAGAGGGCCTGCCGCAGAAAACATCAGGCACAACTGTGTCACAGACAACTGGATGGAACAAATTTTATTATGCTCTGTCTTATATATACCAAATATGGAGTGAACTGAATTAGATTACTTCTTAGTTTTTTCCCTACTTAACGGACACATGTGACCTAAGTATCTGTGGGCAATACATCTGGGAATATTTTCCCCCCACTATGGGCCAGCCATATTCTCTTCGGACTATGCACTGCATTGGAACCGTATGCAGGTTACATTTGACTTTGAAAACATCAAAGGAAACATGCAGGCTATCAACTGAGGCCTCTGGCAGGTTCTGTCCCTTCTCCAGCACCAGATTCCCGGTATGAGAGAAAGAGGACCTCACCTATGTTTGGCTCTTCCTGCTGCCACATATGGCCAACAGAATACCTGCAAGGGAATATGATCTCTTCAGAAAGACTCCCCAATCCACAGTTACAAGAATTGACAATCCCTCAACCAATGTGCAAGACCTATGCCAGTGATGGCGAACCATTTTGAGCCCGAGTGCCCAAACTGCAAAACAAAACCAACTTACTTGTTTCAAAGTGCCAACGCTGCAATTAAAACTGAATACTGAGGTTTTCATTTAGATTAAAACAACTGCCCTTGCACTGCAGGAGTTAAATGCTTGTGTTTTTCCTATGGGCGGTATCAACAAAGAAATACTGTACTTACCGGTCCTCCAATCCCCCATTGGGCTAGACCGGTAATGGTTGCCATTGCACCCCTCCACTGGACCACTGCACCAGCAGAGGGGAATGCCAAAATTCAGGATTGGAGGATGGGTATTTCTCAATGGCGACTTATGGCTTATGTGCCCACAGAGAGGGCTCTGTGTGCCAGCTGTGGCACGTGTGCTATAGGTTCACCATCACTGACATATGCTATGGTTTCATCTAAATGTTTTTGTCTGATTTGGGCGTGTGTGTGGGTACAGTATTTACGCATTTTACATGAGAACCACATTGCTGTTTTATTTTCCTGGCATTCAGAACCAGGCATGTAGAGAAACTGTGCAAAGGCATTTTTGAAATTTGAATTTAGAAATGACAGAACAAGAGTTGAGAGTTTCTATGCGTAAGTAGTTAAAGCCAGATTTTACCCCCTGGAGGTTATATCAATGACTCTCTAGTCTAGAAGACTGCAGGGTTCTTTCCCCCCCAATCTTTCTACAGTTTACCTCCAGTAGGATCTGCTCACATTTTCACAGAATCATACATTCATCATCATCATTTTAGCACTGCAGAGCTAGAAGGGACTCTATAAGTCATCAAGTCCAGCCAATCAAAGAAACGCAGTGGGGAACAGGGCTGCTCACATTTTCACAGAATCATACATTCTTCATCATCATTTTAGTACTGCAGAGCTAGAAGGGACTCTATAAATCAGCGGGTCCAGCCAATCAAAGAAACACAGTGGGGAACAGGACTCCCAGATTCTGACTCCAGAGCCAGATACCTAAACCACTGAACTATCCAGCAGCTCAAGAGGGAATGGATCTCAAATGTCATCTAGATACCTAAACCACTGAACTATCCAGTAGCTCAAGAGGGAATAGATCTCAAATGTCATCTAACCCAACTCTTCGGCAATGGAGGATATTCAGTATTTTGGTATGTGGATATAAAAGTCTCCACTGCTCTCTCCATCACCTTGATTCCCTGCCCACCCCAAACTTAAACCTTTGCAGAAATATTCTTTTCCACATGTAGATCGTCTTCTGCAGATTTGACTCTCCATGGATGTGCAGGATAAACAGCTTCTGTTTTGAGTTCCCCAGACAGGCAGGTACTTCCTCTGTGAACCTATCCACTGCAGTTCAATTACTGGTACCCTCACTTGGATCCTCTGCATTCCCCTCCTTCCAATAATTAACACATATTTCAGAGTTGGCTGTGTTTGATAGGGAAGAAGTCTAACAAAGAAGCTGGCCAATATTATATATGAGGATTTCTGGCTCTGGATCACGTAGAACTACCGTCGTTATGCGAGGCACCACTGTATAAGGATTTCTGGCTCTGGATCACATAGAACTACCACATCTAGATCAGGATTCATTCAAGGCAAGCATTTCTGGAAAATTCTAATTTTTAACTAGCTGATAACTGACACTGTTAATTCATTTTTTAAAAAAAACCCTTAATTCACTGATTTACTGAGAAATAGGAAAAGTAAACATTTTAAACTGTCTCTACCGCCAATCATGCAGGTACACCTTGAAGTAGCAATACTTACAGTTACCCAATTTTTAGAACATGTTGCTCTAAAACAGATTTCATTGCTAGTACATATTCAGATCTATGAGCTAGATCTTACCTAGACACACATGGCGAGTCTCACTTTATTACCAGTAATCATTTCTGGGGAAACACAAAAATTTATAGAAAAGGGAGAAATGTCTGAGCAATAAAATACATATATCATTTTGTATGTTATCAGTGCATTTTAAAAATATTGTACAACTCTTCAGAACAGTGCAATCTACAAGCCATTCAAGCCACAATACTTGTATTTAAGACAGCTTAGAAGCCACTTGGTCATAGAAGTAACAGTGCCTTTGCTGCTTATTTCATAGTACCTGTTGTTTACTAGATAGTCTATTTCCCTATATGTCACCTTAATGTGAGAAAGAGTATTGGTGTTCTTAACTGAGAAGTGTGACAACTAACTCCACGGCATGCTAACTGCTCACCCTCCATTGTTACACAAACCAAGGATTTGATCAACAGGTTAATGAGATTCATAGCATTATTTGGGCGTTTCCCCAATGTACTAGTAACTTGCTACTTACAGTGAGCTTCTAAAATTCTGTACAATTTAAAATTCTGAATGCAGCAGCTGCTCACCTTTTGCAAGATGATGGAAAATGGAATGTGGTCTGAGAAAAAGAATGTATCAGAATATATAGATACCTTGGCCAACAAGATCTGCCTACTTTGTACAAGAGAAGGAAATGAGAAAAGTTCTGTACATGGTTATTCGTAGCTGCATTGGCACAGACTTTTCTTTAGGTGTAGATGTTGGCAGAGCAGATGGTGGAAATGAAGGATCACAGTCAAATGGTGGCTGAGAATATGTCAGATGGTACTAGCCCAAGGGCATGCTTCTCAGCTGTAGCACTTCAGACATCAACAAAGGGATCAAATATTTCATTCCTTCCCATCTTAAAAGAAACAAACATAAACCTCCTTGAACTGAAAAGCTAGCAAGTCAAAGAAAAAAGCCCAACACTTGTTTTTATAGCACACTGGTTTTCTAAATGCAAGAAAGTTTGTATTTACGCAAGGAACTACTCAAGAATGTGATTCCCCGCTGGCATTCTTGAAGTGGTACATCCTAGCAACAGATTTTTCTCACAATAACTCGTCACCTCATTTGACTTTTAATTTGGTCCTGCCTGTATGCAACACTTACGAAATGAAATGTGTTAATCCCACTGAAATGTGTACACTGTCTTTTTTTTCCTGTTGACTTCCATATGGCCAAGCTGAAATATATGCAAGTATGTTGGTGTACGTGACTTATGGATCACTTCCCTACAATTAGTTTTAATTCTTTACAGGTCATAAGCTCTTTTTAATGATTGCTTTCCCTGCGTGTTCTGGAATTTTTTGATGTAGTCCTTTGTTTGTAGTCTTCTCCAGATCCCAGATCCACCAGGTCCTGATAGTTCATAAATTCCTGAGGTAATGGAAACTCTTCTGCTGGTGAATGAGTCCTGTGCCCAAACACCCTCTCTTGTAGCTCTGCGATGTCATTTCTGATGTCTGCCATCATCAGTAACAGAAAGTCAAAAGAACCTGGTGGCCCCTAAAAATATTGAGAGAACAAGTTACTAGTCCTTCCCGTTCCTAATGTGTGACACTATCAAGGCCCCTATTGTGGGCAGGTCATCACCACATGCATGACAGGGTTATTTGATTGAAAAGGGGGTGGGGCGGGGAATCCTACATGAATTTTCTCCAAATATAAATTTCAAACAAAAATGCTTCATTGCATAAGATTCTTTTAAACACCTTCAGTTTCACTTAAATAAGCAAGATGAGAGTTAGCTCCATAAAAGAACTGAAGGAAGTCGACTTTTGTGGCATTCACTTTTTCACTGTCTAATATATAAGAAAGAGTGGTCAGAATCCCGTTCAAGATTTATACCCGCATTACTGCACCTGTGAATGACTGCTAAATAACGACTTGCCATTTATGTTCCTGGTCATGTTGCAGTGCTGGGGTATGACCAGGAATGCAAGCAGCATCTTGACATTGATCTACTGTATGCAATTACTGATAGGAATGCAAGCAGCATCTTGACATTGATCCATGCAATTACTGACCAAAGTACAGTAAACATCTAACAGGATTCCTGCTAATAATTCGTTACAAGGAAAAGCACAGAAAGCATTATTTGGAGTGTAAACACTAACCCCTCCTATTCCACCATTTAATTACTTCCTCAATCAGTTTTGCTTCAGAGCAGCTTCAAAGCCATACCTGTTGATCCTGAGCATATGGGCCATGTGATGTCCTATTATGTTTAAACGTATAGTTTGTATGGTAATGACAAGTGTTTTGCTTTGAAATGCATTGGTTTAGTAAGTTTGTAATGGGAGGGGGCAAGTAACGAGCACGGAATGTTGTAAGAATGATTCTGATTGGCTGGGAGAAATAATTAATTCAAGCTCAGTGATGTGAACATCAATGCCTGAGGCACAGCTTTGTGGAGGGTGTTAAGAGGGCCTGAGTAAAGGGGCAAACATACATGGGGGCAACTAGGCTGGTGGCAGTGAAAGAGGAAATAAGTGAAAAATATTAAAGGAGACCATTATATAAATAGTCAAGGGACAAGAAAAGGTTTTTTACATCAGTATATGATAGAGGGGTAGGACAGGCTCTCTATTGGCTTCAGGAGGGTGAGACGGGGCCAGTGGGGAATACATGCATAGAAAACATTATTCCACTGGAATAAATAGGAGAAGTCTTGTCTCTCTGTGTTAGAATTCCCACTCCCAACCAACTGGCTGCTTGGAGTAATTTGAGGTGTGTGTTTGGTTCAGCTTGGCTGTAGATAAAAAGGGAAGTAACAAATGAAGCAGCTCTCTTCATTTTAGGTCTTTTAATGCCAATGGGTATGACCCACACCAAAAAATACACCAATATTCACATATCATAGCTTGCAGGATTTCCTAGAAACATTGGCAGCCATGCAGTTCAACATTCTTGAGTCCCTGCTAGCCACAGGCTAGAAGTTCGTATATTACTTTTAGTCTATGTATACAAATACATCTCTGCAGCCACAAAAGATGCATCCTTAATAATAAATGAATTAGCTTATGGTCCCAAAGCAGATTGGCAAGTTGGAGATGACATTTTGCTTTTTATCAATGATTTATGTAATACTGCATTATTTTGGTGTAATAGCAGGGAGGTCTCTTTTGGCATCACTAAGTTGGAGGAAATAATCAACCAAATGTTATCTTAAGCACATGGTTGCTTATAAGTGACAACTATCCACCTCATTTCCCCTTCTGTAATCTTCATATAATTTATTCATCCCCTGAGAACATAATGTTCTACGCCTCCTAACAAATACTGCTTCCAGCACCAGTATCATTCATTCATTCATTTTATTTCCATCCTGCTTTTCTCCCTGTGCAAGACAGCTTGAGTCCCGAAGCTTCTCCCAATAAAGCAGGTGTGAGAAATCTCAGCAGACTTGGGGGCAATATCAACCCCAGAGGTGGCTTTCTCTCATGATAAAGGAAAGGGGCAAGGGCCAACTTCACAAGATGTTCTGTTTCTTGAATGAATGAATGAATGAATGAATGAAGGAAGGAAGGAAGGAAGGAAGGAAGGAAGGAAGGTTATTCCAGATCCTAGGTCCTTAACCTGTGGTCTGTAGACCCCCAGGGGTCCATGATATCCTCACAGGGGGTCTGCAAAGGCTTGAAGAAATGTTGTGATCTTTTGCAGTTGAGAAAGGAAGGAAGGAAGGAAGGAAGGAAGGAAGGAAGGAAGGAAGGAAGGAAGGAAGGAAGGAAGGAAGGAAAATCTCTAAGGAGTAGCAGAAGCATTTTATTGAGCAATTTTTTCCTTAATGGGGAGTTCTCAGGTGTCCTTTGGAGCTGCAAAAATGCAAAAGTAGACATGTAACTGCTGTTTTTGACAACAGCCACATATTTAAGTAAACATCTAGTTTGGCTCTAATTAAACAGAAATGAACATATGGTTGATATGAACACGATCACTTTCTCCTAAGATGTTTGAGTATGAGAAATATTGCCCCATTCTTTACTGATAAAATCTCAGTAGAAATCAGACATCATACTTACAGGTGGCCCTTTCTCTCCCGGTGCACCTCTCTCACCCTGAAACAAACAGCATTCTGCTTAATTTGCATTGATTAAATCTGAAACATAACTTATGGATTTGATTCGTGATGGACCCTTGTTGACTCAGGAATTTAAATCCGAAGTTCCACCAGCTAAATCAGAACATTTGCTCTTTTTCACCACTAGACTGCTTGGAACTAACAATTGGATTTGGTCAATTATTTTCAAATTACATTATTTATGTTAAGGATTCAAATCAACGAATTGAGTCAGTCTTCGGAGAATATTGAAGAATGGGGAGGCACTCTTTTAAAAAGATAAAATATGACAAATAATTATAGTAGGTAATAAATAATGAATCACAGACCTATAGAAACCCAAACCTTATTCCATAAAAATCTAAATTCCGTCCAACCTAATGTATCTACAATTGCAACCACAACAACGAAACAGCCCATTCATCTGCAGTATTAATATGTTGATTTAACAGAGAAATTGGAAAAAAGCATCAGTATTGGCAGCAGGTCAGACCATAACAGCAATTCAACAGTGGATTAAAGTTTCAAGACTGTAATTTTAAACTGAAAGTATTTCCATGGAATGAGAACTGCTGGAGAACATTATATCCTATCTAACATGCAATCTATGGCCCCAGACATTCTTTCATAACAAATGGCACCAACCCTTGCTAAAGCTATATTGTAGATGTACTGTAATAGAGAGGGAGCAAGAATGGAGAGCAAGACAGTGTGATGTGGAGAATAAGATGCTGAATTAGGATTCAGATCTCTGTTTGGCCATGGAAACTCACGGGATGAGGGTGGAATGGGAACCATTCCTTGAACATTTTATGTACCTCAAAAGTGCTATTAGGGTCACCATAAGTCAAAAACATGTGATGACCACTAACAATAACACATGTTAAGAGCACAGAGGTGTGGCCCCATTCCATATCAAGATTTAGCAGAGGTGGAGAAAGTAGCCAAGGGATTCTGGGAGTTGTAAAACAAAAAAGGAACTTGTCAACACTCTGTGATTTGGGACCTACAGTATGCCTGAGTCCTTGGTGGAGATCAGACTAGAGATCACCATCAAAGTCCGTCTAAAAGAGGGAACTATAGGGGACTATCAAGGGAAGCTCTTAGCAACAACAGGTCCTTTGGGATTAAGTGGAATACCTGTCTTGCATAAGCACGTTCTGCTTTTCCACACTGGTCTCAGCAATAAGGGAGCACTGTTGATGATGGGCAATTTTACCTCTGCCTTTCTTTATAAGCCCCACATCCCTTCCATCCTTCCAACTTGACAGGACGTTCTGTTTTTTAAAAGAAGTATGTGGGAAATTTGCGTGCTCACCTTTGTTCCATCTCTTCCTGGTGCCCCTGGAGGACCCTGTAAGACAAAACCACAATCCTCAAAAATATGTTGCGGTAGGACACATGCAGACTATGTGCACTCACGGTATAGAGTTGGAATACTAACCACAGGGCCCCGTCTGCCCTGCTTAATATGGGACAAGTCTGGAGATGGCCCCATCGGACCCATGGCTCCTCTAGGGCCTGGCAGACCAGGAGGACCAGGAGATCCAGGATTTCCTTTTGGACCTGTAGCACCTGCAATCAAAATAAAATTGTTGAGTCTGACAATAGGTTCAGGCTATTGTGTGCAATTATGGTTGGCAGATGGGGTTAACCTAAGACAACAATGGGAAGAAACACCTCTCCTACTTTAGCTGGCCTCTTGCAGCTACCTCTGTTTGTTGGGAATGCTGAGCTACTGATGCTCTCATATTTGGCTAATTGCATGTAGACTAATCTAAAGATTCCTTAGAAATTGATAGAAGTGTCAGAAATAGAGGTTGTGTTCAAAATTAGCATAGTTCATAGAATTTCTATCTGTTAGCCTTGTTTAGTCATTAAGGCAATGCGTTAGTTAAACATGTGAGGAAGGCGGCATTCCAGCCTTGCCCCTTCTGTCTTCTACCCCAGATACACACGCAAGAACCCTCTCTTTCCTGTGTTTTTGCTCAAATCAACCTACCCCATGTGTAGAATTGGCTCTTTTTTGCTAAAAGCAAAGAAAAACCATAGAAGTCAGGCCTAGTAATTTCCCCTCCTTGTGTGTTTAAACAACACAGAGTTGCATTGACTGAACAGGACTTTTCTGAACAGTTGATACAAACATCAGGCTGCTTTGGAGAACCAGTGTCATTGTTCAAATGGGTCACATCAGACTGTTCACTTAGGATGCTATGTTACGTTATGCTAAGTAACATCATACTATGACAGTAATAACAGTTATAATGCTTTGTTTCACCATGAATAAATAGAATCACAGAATCATGGAGCTGGAAGAGTCCTATAAGGCCATTGGGTCCAACCCCCTTCTCAACGCAGTGCAAATATGCAGCATACAAGCAGTGCGGTCTCACAGGTGGAGATTTTCAGGGAAATCCCCATGCCATTTCCATCCTTTTGCAATTCCCAGCCATGTTTCACAAATCACACAGCAAACACACAGGTTGGGAGAAACTTGTTTTCATTTCGGAAAAGGGAAGAAATAAAGCTTACAGCACCTTGGACAGCTCATTTTACAGTTCTAATCAGATGGAACTAGTCTACCACTAAAGGCCTACTGGAGAGCTCTGTGGTTACTCCTGACCTGGTTTCCTTTTAGAATGGGTTGGGATACAAAACGACATGTATATCAAACAAAACAAAACAAAATATTTTTTCTTGAATCTTTGAAATGGAGCAATGGGTCGTTACTGCCTTACCTGGAGGACCTCTATCACCTGGTTGTCCTGGAGGTCCTGGTATATAGGCATTCGATGCAAGTACTTTTTCCCCTGTGAGTGGTTTGCTAAGGTCAGCAGCATTATTTGGCAACAAAGCAACCTGCAACAAATAGTATGTCCATCAACCAAAAGCCTTTCATCATTTTCAAGGATACCTAATTGAGGTACAACATTTGAGTCAATTTCTTTCAGTGCACTACTCTCAATTCATGATTCAGTTACTGAGACATATTACTGCAGGTCTGAACTCTAAGAAAGCCAGAGTGATACAGCAGAGTCTTCTAGACTGGGTGTTCTACGTATAGACCACTTACTCATCCTCTTACACAAGGTTATTCTGCTAGAAAGAACTAGAGACACACACCAACCTTTCAAATAGTTTTGCTGCTATGGCTGAGTTTTTAAATTCCATACGAATACACTCCAGCAACTTGAAGAAGTGAGTTTGGCATTTCCCCCTCTTTTACACAGACCTACATACAAATACTAACGTAAGAGTCAACTCTTAGATTTAGGGCACTGAGTGGTACAAGGTTCTAGACTGACTGGTGTGCAGCCATAGGTCAGGAGCTCCATTCTCCATTTTCCTTTGAAAGAGAAGAGCCAGCCTGTGTGGTCTTGGTCAAGTTACATGGCTTCACAGTGCCCTCAGAAGAAGGAAATGGAAAACCATTTCTGAGTACAGTTGTACCGAGAGAACTCTGGAAAGTAAGTATAAATTGACTTGATAACAGATAATTATTATTTTATTTAGTTCATCCAACCAGACAGCTTCTGTTGTGTTTGACAGCCCTTCACAATTTCTCTCACAGGGATCCGATCCAACACTCCTACTGTAGCTTGTTTACATGGAGGTCCTTAAGACGGATCTTCTACACTTCAAGCGTGTGCTCTGCTGCTGGAGTATTTTCACCTATAGAGGCTGAAACACAAGAGTAGTGTTTCCCAGCCTGGAGGTTGTACGCCCAAGGGGGTTGCAAAGTGTTTTCTGGGGGGGGGGGCATGTTTCCTCTTATATGTGTTGTAGCTTTGTTAAATGATTTTTTTCTTTGACCTTTTGGAACCAGAGCTAGCATGCATGTTGTATATATGAGAAAAACACCCTCCACTTTCTGAGAAAGGATAAGTTTACTCCATTGAAAATACCATTGTATGCAAATATGGTGGTGGTGGGGGTTTGCAGGTTACTCTGCTATTATAAAAAAGGGGTCACAACTTTAAAAAGATTGGGAACAACTGTGCTAGAGGATAACTATTTCCCCCTGCTGAGTGGAGGAAACGTATCCATGTCCAATTTTAGCTGAAAACAAACTATTTGTTTAACAGAGACCATAGTCAATTTTAGGCGTGAAGAGATAACAGATGACAACTAGCTGAGTCGGTCTGCCTTGGAAGCTCACATGCTGTGTGTTTGCCCACTCAGTTGCTCCATTAAGCTGACTCATTCTTTATTATCTCCTAGAAAGGAGCATCTGCCTTGCACAGGTTTCAAAGCCAAGTCCCGAGCTATTGATGTTGAACATTATTATCTTGCCAGACATTAATATGCACTTGACCTAATTTCTATTCCATTCTACATTCTTGATTCAAGCTTGGAATCCCTGTACAACAGTGATCTCACTCCAGCACCTCCTTCATGCATGAATCTTTCCCGCACGAGGATGTAAACACTTGGGTGGAATCCTTTCAAAAGGGACAACAGTCAAGGAGTTGAACTCTAACCTCAGATCTGTCTGCATCTCATGTTGTCGTTCGGACGAGGTTCCGTGCAGAAACTCTGTCTGACTTGGCTTGGAGACAGAGGCCTGGGTCCACTCTAAGATTTACTTCTAATTAAATACATACTTACATGTATCTGAATAAGCACATGTTGACAGAGAACTCTTCCACACATGGGATTCTTTGCATGCCTAGATTGCCTGTTGTTTATTTCTTTTGGCAAAAGACTCCCTCTGACTAGTTTTTCAACTCCATCGAGGAGATGGTGTGGAAGAAGGAATAAGACAGAGTGTTTTTTTTAAAGTTCTGTCTCCAGGGAATCCTTTCTAGCACGTCCACCACGGGATGCTTGAGTCTTGCACAGAATTCTGGAGCACAATTTGGGGTTTGACTCCATTAATGCAGGGTACTCCTTGACTCTACTAGGTGTTTATAGTCAGCCCAATAGAAGTAGAAAGGCAATCTATTTAACATACCCAACACTTTACACACAGCAGGTGGAGTGGCTAAAGTTGGCTGCCAGTGAAAGTTGGCAGCCACTGCAGATCTTCTAGCTGAAAAACTCCTAACAGGTTCTGAAGATAGGCAGAGAATTCGAAAACCATCCTATCACCAGGCTAGAGCCAAACCAGAAACTGGGCGTTCATTTCTCTGCTTGATCTTCAGGAAACTTCACAGCCTCTCTCAAAGACCGCCAGCCACCATCTTCTTTCCCCAGACACAGAATGGTAATGACATTCTAGTGTAATTAGGGCAGAGGGGACAGTGGTTACTGGCTGGGTTGCTATATTTTTTCCCAGAATACCCTGGAACATTCTAGCATCGTGAGAAATAAAACAGTGGCAACCAGAAGGAGATGGGGAGTCTGGGAAGGGAAACGTTACATTTGACCCACCAGAGGAATTGGAATATGTCTTCCCCATTTGGGAGGTGAGTGAGAGAAGGTGACTTTCTGTTATTACGATATTGATCTGTGTGAGTTTCTCCTAGATGAAATGAATGCCAGAAGTCTCTATTTTGGAGGTAATGTGGCTCTGATGGCCCTACGTTAAACAAACAAACAAACAAATGGATCCACACAGCCTCTTCCTTCCTGTCATCCAGTTACATACTGAAAGCCACTCATATGTCACTGGACATTTCAAATGATCCCATGAAAACACATAGAGATTGAAATCCATTGCTTTGTTGTGCATGCAGAAGGCAAAAGGCCAAAGTCACTTCTAATAGCCAACTAATGAGTCACCACTGGATTTTTGGGGTTGTGAACACCCACTGGCTTGGCAGATGCTCCAAAATCCCAGCAGGGGGCATATTAACTGCCAGCTACAAGGGACCAAATGTTATGCCATTTGCCTTCCACATGTACAGCAAAGCAATAGGATTTCAGCTATCGTGTCCTTCATGAACCTCAGTTCCCCCATGTATTTTCTCCATGAGTGGTTTCAGTTAGAAAAACAATGTCTTGTTATGGAAAATTTTTATTGTGTAAAGTCAACAATGATTTTTTTAATTGGTTCTACTCCCGTAAAAGTAACCTTTGTCCATAAAATAGCCTAGAGTGGTTTGTCATTTTAAAAAAACTACCATCCCCTCTCTCTCTTCTGAGTGTTTAGCTTCTCCAACATCAGGAAATAATATACAAAAGAATAATAAAAATTTAACTTGATTACATGGACCATACAACATTGCCCTATAAATTTGAGAAATCTATATATAGCATGCCATATAGCATGTTTTAGATATGGATTTTCTGCTTTGGCAAGGGACTGGATTCAGTGACCTTTGGGATCCTTTTCAGCTCTACAATTTTATGATTCCATGAACTGAAAGGCATCAAATAGATCACACAAATCTTTTTGTTGTTTAGTCATTAAGTCATGTCCGACTCTTCATGACCCCAGGGACGAGAGCACGTCAGGCCCTCCCGGAGTTTGGTCAAAGTCATGTTGGTCGCTGCAATGACCATGTCCAACCATCTCGTCCTCTGTCGTCCCCTTCTCCTCTTTGCATTACACTTTCCTAACATCAGGGTCTTTTCCAGGGAGTCTTCTCTTCTCATGAGATGGCCAAAGTATTGGAGCCTCAGCTTCAGGATCTGTCCTTCCAGTGAGCACTCTGGGTTGATTTCCTTCAGAATGGATAGGTTTGTTCTCCTTGCAGTCCAAGGGACTCTCAAGAGCCTCCTCCAGCACCACAATTTAAAAGCATCAATTCTTCGGCAGTCAGCCTTCTTTATGGTCCAGCTCTCCCTTCCGTACATTGCGACAGGAAAAACCATAGCTTTGACTATTCGGACTTTTGTTGGCAAGGTGATGTTTCTGCTTTTTAAGATGCTGTCTAGGTTTGTCATTGCTTTCCTCCCAAGCAGCAGGCATCTTTTAATTTCGTGGCTGCTGTCACCATCTGCAGTGATCATGGAGGCGAAGAAAGTAAAGTCTGTCATTGCCTCCATATCTTCCCCTTCTATTTGCCAGGAGGGGATGGGACCAGTGGCCATGATCTTAGTTTTTTTGATGTTGAGCTTCAGGCCATTTTTGCGCTCTCTTCTTTCACCCTCATTAAGAGGTTCTTTAATTCCTCCTCACTTTCTGCCATCAGAGTGGTATCATCTGCATATTGAGGTTGTTGATAGTTCTTCCGGCAATCCTAATTCCGGCTTAGGATTCCTCCAGTCCAGCCTTTCGCATGATGTATTCTGCATATAAGTTAAATAAACAGGGGAACAATATACAGCCTTGTCCTTTCCCAATTTTGAACCAATCAGTTGTTCAATATCCAGTTCTAACTGTTGCTTCCTGTCGCATATATAGATTTCTCAGGGGATAGATAAGGTGATGAGGCACTCCCATTTTTTAAGGACTTGCGATAGTTTGCTGTGGTCTACACAGTCAAAGGCTTTTGCGTATATGAAGCAGGAGTAGATGTTTTTCTGGAACTCTCTGGCTTTCTCCATAATCCAGTGGATATTAGCAATTTGGTTCCTGGTTCCTCTGCCCCTTCGAAATCCAGCTTGTACTCGTCGCAGTTCTTGGTCCCCATACTGCTGAAGCCTACCTTGGAGGATTTTGAGCATAACCTTGCTAGCGTGTGAAATGAGTGCAATTGTATAGTAGTTGGAGCATTCTTTGGCACTGCCCTTCACACAAATCTAGACATACTGAAAATCTAAAAATCATATTATCTGCGGTGAATTACTTGTCCTGTGTTAAAGCATCAAGTGATCCTATTTAGGTTTTTTTTTCAAGATTTTAAGGAAGGTGATTCTAAAACCCTTGAGAAAACTAATTCTAATACTGAATTGCTCTCTCAGAAGAGAGACAGAGACAACACATTCTTCAGACAAAGAGGTTCTGCAAGACAGCCACAGAACATTTGATTTAAAGACAGTTTTGGCAAACCTTACTATGGTAGTACTCCTGTATTCACAGGACTGCTATCTGTGGTTTCACTTATCTGCAATCTCAAAATATGAAAAATATTACAAGAAAAACCTCAGAAATATGTACCATATTTTTCCATGTATAAGACACTACTTTTTCCTAAAACCATTACACTAAAAATTGAGGGACATCTTATACACAGAAGTAAGCTGCAATTACACTAAAAATTGAGGGGCATCTTATAGACAGAAGTAAGGTGCAGAGAGAATGAAATGGCCCATACCTTGCCTCTGTAAACAGGCTTCCTTCAATCAAGAGGCGTAATGTCCTACAGTCAGGAGACTTAGTTTGCCTCTGTAAACAGGCTTCCATCAATCATGAGGCGTAGTGTCCTACAGTCAGGAGACTTAGCCTCCTCCAATCACGAGCCTTATTGAACTGACGTCAGCTGATGCTTTGGAACACATGTCGTTGGAGGTGGAGCCTGTAGGCTCAGATGCAACAGGGACTCTTAATGTCCCAGTGTTCTGAGCCCAGAAGCTGAATACTCAAAGCTAAATTAAGATTTCTTAATTTGGAGTTAGAAGAGTCTTATACACAGGGGTATCTTATACATGGAAAAAAATCATGTATAATGATACCATTGCTGGAACTGGCCACTACAGGGAGCCAGAGACCACACTACATATAGCATTCTCTAGTATCTGCAGTTTTCAGCATCCGTGCAGGGAGGTTGGAATTGATGTCCCATGGCAATGGGGATCCTACTCTAGATACAGTATAAATCCAAACACCTTCTTTACCTTTTGTTTAAGTTGCAACACTGTCTGCTTTATTTGATAGAACTCTTTGCATGAGGCACAGCATGCCCCTGGTTTTACCACGTTATCCGTCTTCTCAGAAAACCCTGTGGTTCAAAAGACAGAGAGAGAAAAAGAAAGATTCGTTTTTTAAAAGAGGGACAAAAACAGAGCAAGAGAAATGGCGAAGAAAACTGCTCAGGGATGAGCCTTTGAAATTCTCTTTCCTGGACGTTCCGTGAGAGGGAAAGGTGATCATGCTATCAACAGCCTTTCTCAGCTGTGAATTACTGTGAAAGGCTGGATGAATCCACAGTAAGCTATGTTGCAAATGGTTCTGCAGCAGCTGTTTCTATTTAGCAGGACTTTAGTGCCTTTTATAAAACCCCTTTTATATGTCAGGAGGGGAAGAAAGTGTTTACTTCTCTACTTTTATCTGAGTCCTTATTCTAGCAGAACTGTATGGATCCATTGTGATTTAAAATCCCGATTCAAGGACCAATCTTCATACACCATAAATTATGCCAATATCCCATGCAATGTGACCTCTGGCTTACATTTGGTACAACAGGAGTCTTTATGATTCCTGATAGAGCCGCTAACACAAAATACAAACTTTGTAACAGATCTTGGACTTAGGGCTGCATCTTGTCTACATTAAAAGTAAATATCCTGGCCCCAAGCAATCTATTTGGTCTTCTGAGAAAGCCCTATTTGGTTGCATACTGCTTAGCTGAGTATGAAGTTAGCAAATCTGGATACCCTTGCCAGGTGTGAGGAGGGGTACAAATACGAGTACGAATATTCGTGTTCTGTTTTACATGTCAACGTCCAGTGCAAATTTCCTTCCTCACACAGAGCACACAAGCCTAATAATCATGCTACTAATTTAGTTCTCAAAAAACCATCTGGTTTATGACTGCTTTTGTATCCACAATTCAAAATGCTAGGAAATGGCCTGATATTGCTGCATAACATTGTGCCTGAGTTGCCAGCAGGCAAAAGGACACCACCAATGACAACAGAATATGTGTGCATGTTTCTCCATTGTACTATATGTGTTGCACTTACACCTTTGTTTTACCATTTCATTAAGTCCAAAAACAGCCCTTCAGAATAATTTGTCACAGAGGGATTACAGCCACATCCCAACTGTTCTTGCTTCTGTCCTCTCCCAGCAACCACAGTGTTGAATTTTGTTTGGAATTTCCAGTGTAAGAGGCTGAATTCAGGACAGATACACCATACTGTCCATTATACTGACCCTCCCCACTAATGTTTTACAGAACAGAGAAGAAAGGAAATCTGGTTTCCAATGGTTGTGTTCCTAAGCAGCTCTGTGCTAGAAATTGTCTCAATAAAAATGAAAATTGAGATTCACAGGGTTGACTATGCAGAATGTTCTACAGAAGAGGGAGAGATTAAGAAGTCTTATGAGATATTTGTCAGTCACCTTTTTAACAGTGAATGGTGGCTCTCATTAGATGTGTCTGTCTACTGACTGCTGCAAAGGTCAACGGAAGTATTCTTCCCTGAGAGGCAGGCTAGGACAGACTGCACCCTTTGTGTGTATGTTATCACCAAAAGCTTGATCCTCCCCTATTTGAAGTTCAGCTGACCTAAGCCCAGGCTGCTAATGTAGACTGGAGGGTTGGGGAGGGGGAGCTGCCATTATCTATAAAAACACCTTAGAGGTTGTCAGGCTCTTTGCCTTGACAATCCCAGGCCTGGAGGCCCTCCACATGTCAGTGGGAGCCAGGGATGAATTTGGGATGTAGCTGGTTTACTGTGCTCCTCATGACCCAGCACTCTCCTTTCAGGAGCTGATGGCTTCGTCTCGGTGGCAGCATTGAGGTCCTGGAGGACTTCTTGTCCTGGAGGACTTCAGTGCCCACGCTGAGACTGAGGCCTCAGGTCCACCTCTTGAGTTCTTGGAAACCATGGTTTCCTTGGACATGTCCCAAAGTGTTATCAGCCCCACCTACGTAACTGGTCACAAGCTAGACCTGGTGTTCTCAACTGGACAGGCAGAGAGTGATCCAAGGGTGACTGATTTGACATTGGTCCCTGTGTCATGGTTGGACCACCCCCTTTCTGTGGCACTCCCCCTCTGCAGGGAGCAGGGACCCATTATGTTTTACATGTCAACGGCCAGTGCAAATTTCCTTACTCACACAGAGCACACAAGCCTAATAATCATGCTTACTAATTTAGTTACCTCGTTACCTGGCAGAATGCCTCCTCCCTTTTGACATTGGTCCCTGTGTCATGGTTGGACCACCCCCTTTCTGTGGCACTCCCCCTCTGCAGGGAGCAGGGACCCATTAAGAAGATCCACCTCTGCAGGCTATTGGATCCACTCTGGCCGCCCTGCACTGGCTTTCTGTTTCTGTGCCAACTTCAAAGTGATGGTGTTCACATGCAGGGCCCTAAATAGTTGGGGACCTCGTTACCTGGCAGAATGCCTCCTTCCGACTAGATCTGCCCACCCTGTAAGATCTTCCCAGGCTGGGTTTTTGAGTGTTCTGACCCCGAGAGTTACTTGGAAAATAGCAACTAGAACCTGGGCTTTGTTGGCAGTAGCCCTGCAATTGTGGAATGGCCCAAAATCCGCCTGGTCCCTGCATTGGGAGCCTTCAAGCGATCATTAAAAACATGGTTATTCAGACAGGCCTTTCCGGATTCTATAATATCCTGATACAATAGTGCTTTAATA